TGCTTGCGGTGGGTGAGTGTTGATGTGTGGTGGGGTGGTGGTGGAAAAGGAGGCAGTGCGGAAGGGTGTTGTGGCGTGGTGTAACCGGCGGTTGTCTACCGCAGGTCGTCGTGGATGCGCATGTGGCCGAATAGGCCCATGCGACGTCTGAAAGTGCGAGGACAGTGTGGGCAATTGAGACGAGTTTGGTGGTTATATGTTGGTGCTCCAGACACTGGTTCGCCGGTATCTGTGCGATGGATTTGCAAGTGACCGATCAAGCTGATGTGAGAGGTGAATATGTGTGGACAGTGTGAGCATGAGAAGTCGGTGGTGTTCGTGTCAGCTACAGAGGAGGCGGTGGTGGTGGTGATGGGCGCGTATGGCGGTGGAGCGAGGGTGGGCTGGGCATGGTTGGTGTGTTGGATGTGGTGGGTGTGTCAGAGTTGCGGTCAATTCCGCTCTCGTGGATGCGCATGTGGTCGAATAGACCCATGCGATGCGTGAATGTGCTAGGGCAGTGGAGGTGAGTGCTGTGGGTGTAGGTTGGTGCTCCAGGCACTGGTTCTCCAGTCTCTGTGTGATGGAGTCGCAAGTGACCGACCAGGCCGATGTGTGAGGTGGTGTGATTGCAGTGAGGACAGGCACAGTCCTGATCGTCATCCCTGGAGTCGAGGAAGGTGGGGTTGGTGCCGGTTGTTGTGTCGGGGTTGGTTATGTGCGTGACGGCCGCCTGAGCGGCCGTTTTTCGTGCAGTGGTGGTGGTGGTGGTGGTGGTGGTGGAGGAGGAGGAGGAGGAGGAGGAGGAGGAGGAGGATGGAAGTGGTGGTTCAGAAGAATTGTCAGAGTTAGTTGGCGGCGGAGAGGAGGTAGAGGCGGGCGGGTGGAAGATGGTTGGCGCAGTTCGAGAGGCGCAGCTGATCCGAAGATTCGAGCCCGGAATGTCCGTTGACATCGAGGACACGTTGGAAGTGTTTGTGCGGCGACGACGCAGTTGGCTTTGTAGATCGCAGCACCTGTCTTCACTGTCCTCCTCCATGTCGGTCAACCGAGTGTGAGCTTTTCCCAGTTGGTCGTATTGATTTGCAGCCGCTTCAGGGAGGACTTCAGGGTATCCTTGTAACGGTGAATTTGGCCTCCTTGTCGGCGAGAGCCCGTCGCGACGTCTCCATAAAAGAGTCGTTTGGGTAGTCGTTCGTCGTCCATGCGCACCAGGTGGCCGGTCCAGCACAGCTGCTTTTGTCTCAGCATGGTGAAGATGCTGAGGATTCCCGTCTGTTCCGGCATATCAATGTCGGGGATTCGATCCTGCCAGTTCAGCCTCAGGATGCGACGAAGACAACTGAGGTGAAAATGGTTCAGTCGGTTTGCCTGTTTTGTGTACACCGTCCAAGTCTCCGCTCCGTATAGTAGCGTCGGCAGGATGACGGCCTTGTACATCTTCAGCTTCGTGCTCAGTTGCAGACCGTGTCGATTCCAAACTGGGATTTGGAGGCGGCCGAAGGCTTGACTGGCTTTCAAGATCCTGTTGGCGACTTCGTCGTCGATCTTGGTGTCGCGGGAGAGGGTACTGCCCAGATACGGGAAGTTCTCCACCATTTGCAGTTGGGTGCAGTCCACACTGATTTGCGGCGCGTTGGGAGCTGTGGCTGAGTAGGGTGGCGGTTGGTGCATCACCACCGTCTTCTGTGTGTTGATGACGAGACCGAAGTTCCCGCAGGCGGCGGAGAATAGGTCCATGCTGCGTTGCATCTCCTCTTCCAAGGTGCTGCTTAGGGCGCAGTCGTCGGCGAAGAGAAGTTCGTGGACGGTGGTTGTGGATACACGTGACTGGAAGTACATCCGCCGTTGATTCAGGAGGTGACCGTCCGTCCTGTAGGCGATGCGGATCCCGGGGCGTTCGTCGCGGTAGGCGTCCATCAGCATGACAGAGAACATGAGACTGAAGAGGGTGGGCGCCAGCACGCAGCCCTGCTTCACCCCGTTGGTCACTGCGATTGCCTCTGAAACAGCTCCGTTTTCCGTGACTCGCGCCATCATACCGTCGTGCAGCTGACGCACCATCTGAGTGAATCGCTCCGGACAGCCGAATTTCTGCATGGTCTTCCGCAGTCCTTCACGATTCACTGTGTCGAAGGCTTTCGTCAGGTCCACGAAGGTAGAGTACAGGTGGGTCCGCATCTCCTGGCACTTCTCCTGAAGTTGACGGGCGGCGAAGATCATATCCGTGGTCCCACGATGACGACGGAAGCCGCATTGGCTTTCCGGCAGAAGGCCCTGTTCCAGGTGGTCATTGAGGCGGTCGAGAAGGATGCGAGCGAAGATCTTCCCGACGATGTTCAGCAAGGAGATGCCACGGTGATTGTCGCAGACTTGGCGATTCCCTTTTCGCTTGTATAGATGCACGATGGTTGCGTCCTTGAAATCTTGCGGTACTTCACCTTGACGCCACATCTCCTGGAAGAGCGCAGTCAGGTGGTCCGTTAGATGGGGACCGCCGTGCTTGTAGACCTCGGCAGGGATTGCGTCCGATCCGGGTGCATTCCCGCTGGACAGCTGCTGCATGGCCCTGATGGTTTCCTGGAGAGATGGGGGAAGCCCGAGGTCCACGTTGGTCTCCACTTGCGGCAAACGGGCGATGGGGTCTTTGGAGATCGCGGAGTGACGGTTGAGGACGTCTGGGAAATGCTTAGCCCATCGCTGTAGAATTTATCTCTTCTCAGTGAGGAGAGTACTGCCGTCGAGAGGATTTTACGGGTTGGGCAACACAAAGGATGGAAAGCGAGAGTACACAGAAGATAGATAAATTTCTGCCGAAAGTCTTATGGCGCGCTATCATTTGGCAAAGTAAGAGAGCGTGATAATTAAAAAAATAAACGGAAATCAATTTTCCAAAAATATCGGACCTTGCATAAAGCGCCACTGGTAAGTTCATATTTACTCAGGAAAAGAAGGAAAATTCGAAGAATGAGAACTATGAATGATAAGTGATGCTTGCAATCTCGCTGAAGTTTACGGTATATTTTTGAAATTACCATCTACTTGCGGGTCCTAAATCCTATCATTAACGTTGAAAGATATTGCAATGCAGTACCAGTTTTTCAGGCGTGCACTGTCGTTGAAGTTGATATCATTTAACTCAGGCGTCCATATGGAAGTTAGTCCCGCGTCCAACTGGTCGCATCTCGACTACGTAGTCTTAAGTTATTTATATTTTCTGGGCAAAATTCATGAATTTGCTCGGTATACGTGACTGCTGACAGACTCCGCAAACGAATATTGATGCTTTTTATTCCTTTCATTCCCGCGCACTCCAGGAGGAATCGGATAAAACGCATGACTTACCTTCTAATTGATTTCCATATATTGATTTTGTGCGTTAATGCGTTTTCAGGCAAAACTAAAGCCACCTAATTTTAACTAGAACCGGCCATCAAGGAGTACAACATGGCGGTCGCAGAAGCACTTGCAGATGGGTTGGGAATCAGTCCTGTCGTTCTAATCTCGGTTTTCCGACGTGTACTTAGTTAATAATAAGCTAACCTCCTCGATCGCCTACTTCACCTCCACAAGCAGGTGTTTGCTTCATGCTGTTTGATTTTTAAAGCAAACTTAGTCGACCTTCGGGATCAGGGGCTGCACCTCGAAGTCATTAACACCACTTGTTCGATTTGATTTACTGCTCACCCCCTGACATTTATAAATCGAGACCATCGAATGTCCTGCTACTGGAGTTTTCGTTTTTGTATCCGAGGAAGTCCAATTCGGTAGACAGCACTAATGTGCATGCTTTCTTCTCAGGATGTTTGACCCTTCAAATTGTTGTCGGCTCCGGAAATAATTAGTCTCTATATGGGTTGAATTGAATTTGATGGAAAATTCCTGACTACCACTACTTCGTCCAGACATATTTTGCCCCTTATTATTCGTGAACCATGAATCAACCACCTCAAATTACCTTCTCCTGGGTCCTTTGCATGGTTGACTTGGCTAGAGCTTTCCTTTCTAAGGTCTTCTTACTGATAACTGACTTGCTCCAGACCAATCATCAAGTTCCGATGTCGTTTACGATCGTGACAAAAAATTACTGTTACTACTTCCATTCGACACTGAGAAACTCTTCCCCACTACATCGTAGCACATTCCTACCCGCCCTACAGTTGATGCGCTTCGAAATTATTACGGCATGCAAAAAGTTGCGGCTTGAAAGTCTGCAGACTGAGTGTGCAACCCGGCATTTGAAGTCCCAGTATATAAGGCGGCCTGTACGAAGTTAAGCTCAATGGCGTCTTTCGATTGTGGTCTCTTTAGCACTTCCAATTGTATGAAAACTTTGTCTGCCGTACACAGACGAGGTGTCTGCTGACTTTGTCAGCCACCGCTCAGAGCTTGCGTCCGGCCTTCGTAACTCGGTGTTGCCGCCTGCTACAGGTTAGAGAGAAGGAGCAAATTTGGCGATATTGCGCAATTCATCAGAAAACTGAGTCTGTTTCAAGTTGTCTATCAGCAAATTCTACACACCCAGCAAACCAACGTGCGCACGAACAACATAACACAATGGGAGTCCGAAATTACCCAATATCCGAAGTTATGAGCTTCTTCGTGAACTACAAACGTCTGAGTTGTTCTAAATTTCACTTTATTCAATAAGTCAGTTCTCTGAGAAACTTTAAGCAATTATGAACATTGTCAGCAACCCTAGTGTGAAGTACTCATTATATTTCACCAGTAGTCAGATTACTTGCAGGTGTAAGTTGCACCTTGATAAATTAATGTGAACAAAAACGTCCACGTCTGCCCCCTACGTAAAACCTCTCTTACCATCTGTCCGGTATTAGAGGCAACTGGGGTTTGACTATTTCCGGTGCGACTACAAGACCACATCTGGCCGTGAGTTTTGTCCGTTGCGCCTAAACAGAGCTCTTTTTAGTTGGCTCTCCTGGAGTCGGACATCGGTGCTTGACGTGAGACTCTGCCACAGTAATTGTGTTCCGTCGCCCACGTCCGCGATCTGCAGGGACTCGATTCCAATAACTGCCAACTAGTTGAAGCTTTCAAATTCCGTTTCCTTATCCATGCGCCCGCATGCACTCCGAATTTATTTGTCCTCCTGTATGCGGGGACAGCTCCAGAGTTTAAGAATGCCTGTCTGAATTTCTTCTCGATTCACCGCATCGTAAGAGGTCACCAGATGCACCTATGAGGTTACTTGGTTGGTCCTTATTTGTCCTCATTCCTCCTGCAGATAACCACACGCGTCTTGAGTCTTTGCGGAATTCCAAGCTATCAACACTGATGTGTTTGTTTCCATACTCTTTGACATGTTTTGGTAATGATCTCTAGCATGTCTACAACTTTGCCGCACTATGCACACGTTGAGAGGTACTGGTGCTTACCAGACAACTACATGCATTTGGCATCCGATTCTATGACCATTCTCCTTCATCTTCTTTTAAGACCTTTTTATAAGCAACAGGAATTCAAAAGCGTTCGCCCACTCTTCCCTCTATAGAAAGAGACTGAACGAAAATATGCTGTTAAGTAACACCCACCTTCGAAGTCCGACGGTCACGACTACACGCCGTCTTGACTTTCTCTCTGTGAATACTCTCCGCACGCTCTCCTCTCTCCGCGGTTTTTTGGCTGTAAGTTATCTTGCTGCAAACTGCACCCTGTAGAGTTTTCCTGAGTACGCCAGTTTAATTTAGGTTTTTGTTTGCGTAGGACATGTCAGAAAAACAAGATGCGGAATTTACCTATGCTTTAAATATACCTGGGGTTAGGCCTGGCTAGTTGACGGTGGTTATTTAGTTGGAACGGGACACTTCAGTCTGCCTTATCTTTAACGATACCCCCTCCTCTGCACATGTTACCCAGTGATACAGGACTATCTGCGAGAATCATGTTACGTACCCCAACACCCAAGTTAATCGGTAAACGCACCCCATACGTCAG